TTAGAATAAAATTACAGAGTAATGTGAGCTGGAAGCTGATTCTTGACTAAGAGAAGAAATAAAGTTTAAAGCCCTGGTATGCATTACAGACATAATACATACTCTCAAATGCCTCATGGCCTACATAGACAATACAGAAGTAATCAAGCATCCTTCTATTCCAAATTTTAGATTTTAAGGGAGTGACAACATAAGTTATCCCATTATTGTTTTAATGTATGAAGCTCTCTTTCTATAAATCCATGCACTGTGTGCATGAAGAAAAAAGCTGAGAAAGGCTGTATGTGATAACACTGTAACTAACAGATGAATGTAAATATATATGAAAGTTCTACAGTTTTGATACTTTTTTAAGAACACACAAACAAACCTGTACAAACCACGTGTAAAAGACTGCAGGTTTTTTCAAACCATTGTAAATGAACTCAATATGCAGTGCTGATTTCAGTCTTTACAGATTTATAACTACTGAGAAGTCAAACACCAAATTTTTTTTAAAATAAATTAATTATTTTAAATAATGGTTCAGATTGGTAGGGTGATATTTAACATTGTAATCATTTCTGCTCTGTCTTGTCATACTGAAGTTCTGTTAGAATAAGTCTTTGCTTGGTGCCTTTTGTGTTTCAGTTCTGACCTTCCAGACAAAAGGCCCAGGGAGGGGTGGGGGGGCTCTGTGTAACACTTGCTGTACTGGAAACCAAATGAACACGTTTGTAAAACAGTGCACTGTTTCTATAGAAAGATTAAATTTTTTTATCTGGGATTACTGAACTAATTACTTCATGGTGTCTGAAAGGGGACTGTATCATATTTTGGTCGAAGTTTTCCTTAACTCTTAATTGCCCAAAGCCAGAGTGGGATTTGGGAGCAGTGCTGTGTAATGCAGCTGTCCAGCTGCAGTGTCACAGCAGCAGCACTGGGGACAGTTCATATTCCACAACAGAGCACTTTGTTCTGAAGTGTCTTTTTCTGCCACGTTGGTTTTGGTCATCTGCAAACCACACGGAAAACAGCACCAGCTTCATTTCCTTGACTCAGTGATGTACCTCAGTAAAACCTCCGGTGGTACAAGTACACCAGTCCTTTCCCAGTGTGAGAAAATGTCCCAGAACTGAACACTGCCCACACCACAATTGATGGAGTTTTTCACCTGAACTATTCAACAACTAATTGCAAGCGACTCGGTTTCTTCTTGGAGCTTTTAGTAAAACACCTGAACATGCTGCAAAACTCCTTAGAGCCACACTTATGCCATCTTGGAAAAAAGACAGAAATACTGCTGTTCTTGGAATTTCAAGAGGCAAGCTCAACTTCTTTTCTTGTAAACATAAGAACAGTCCCTCCCATAGAAATAAAGCTGGAAAAAGGTTCATGTACTGGAAGTAGGACAATAATTCTGGCTGGACACATAAGTGACTCAGAACTAAACACACTGTTAGCTTGCTCTCTCTTCCCTGTCTCTTGAAAAAATGAAATCCTGGATAATACAGTACAATACAACACTACACAACCCTTCCCCATCACATGTTGTTCAAAGCCCTTGGAAGCAGTGCCTTTATTGAAATTCTCTTTCAGTCAATTCTTAGTCCCAAAGGAAGCAGCCAAGCAGATAAAACTTTTCAAGCACAAAGAGTTATTGCCAAACTAATATGGACTGATGTACTGGTAAATATCGGTGGTTTAGTTTTCTATCTAATTGAAAATAGGCTTTTTCTTACTTCAAAACATTCTTCCCTTTCAGTTAAGCATTTTAGCAAAGTAATACGGTAACAAATAGAAAAAAGGGAACAACAACAAAATTCTCTCCAGGTCTAAACAGCAAGGACGGCACAAAAGAAAATTGAAAGAGCCTCATAAGAGAGTCACAAACATAGCTGGGCATTAAGTTATGCCTCCCAAAACAACTCCCTTTTTAAAGTATTAATATTGTATTAGCAATAAATTATTTTTTTTTTTGTTTCACTTCTTACACATAAGCAACTGTACAGTCTAATCCACACCAACACTGTTCTGCCCACACCCATTAAGATGCTCTATGGACTACAGGGACTCATCTCTGTCCCTCAGTGTTTATTTAACACATGTAACTCAGTCACCTTTCTGCCTTCTGCAGGAATATGTGTGCTCATTTCCTTGCACTGTTTGCTCTCCATCAAATCAGCCTTTTAACTTTGGGAAACACTTTTAAATCTGTCTTTCTAATCTAAATCCTTGCCTTGAAGCAGGGGCCTACAGCCATAGGCTGTTGTGAGCTCTTTTCACTGCTCCAGTTCAGGCATTTATGGAGTGGTGCCAGTTCCAGTTGTCTCCTACATGCACACATTTCCTCTCCTGTCCCCTCCTGAGAATGGGACTGACAGAAGGGCTTTGGTGGGCAAATGGCATCCAGGCAGGGTGAACTCACCAACCCCAGAAGAGAAAAATAGGGGTGTTAACTTTCCACAGAGACCAAACTGGCTCTTCTCAGACAGATTAAATGAGCCTGGCCAAAAGTTTGCCAGGCTCGTTACACCCCTGGGAATTAACTGAGCCACCTTGTTTTACTTGGATGGCTTTGAGCACCAACTCCCCAGCCAAGACACAAATCCCAAAGTCCAATTTTACATAGGTAAAGAATAACTTTTGGCTTTTGCTATCACAGCAGCAGAGACCATGACGCAATCAATCAGTTTCACAACAGATCACCTCCTGGGGCGTCCCCTGAAGATGGCCTGTATGCCTCAGGGTGCTGCAAGTGGATTTCTCATCCCAACTTCCAGAAGATGCCAATGAGCACCAGTCCAGGCTGTTCTTAGCTTTTACAGGAGGGCAGTAATGCTAACCTCTATCTCTATGCATCAGCAAGCAGAATGAGAATTAACATGCTTTAAAAATTATACTCTTTTTTTCAAATTATTTGCAGCATTCAAATCTCTCCACGTACCTCAGTGGGAGAACATTTCCTTACGGGATTAGCCACAGCTGCCTGCTAAATTCCCCACTATCAAGGAAACCACTGTAATCTTGTCAGTGGTGATAAGGCAGTGCCTTAGTAGGAGCTGAAGTTATGTCAGTGAAACAAGCAAATCTCCCTGATAGTTTGATAGGCCCCTGCCGGGCTCCAAGGACAATGAACACAGGATTACAGAAAGCTGGACTGGTGATTTTGTCTTCACATCAGTTCAGTTCTTCAGCCCTTGCCTCGAGGCTACAAAGTCAGGTAGAAGAGCAGAGGTTTTACCTACAGTTCTTGGCCAGGTACAACTGAGGCCAAATAGCAAAGACATTCCACATTACCCAATTCAGGACTTTATTTGCTGAGCCTGCCAATCAAGGAATTAATTAGTTCCACCTACAGTAATTTATTTTCATGCATATATTCCCCCACTGGGGCTCAGCTAAAAGCACACACATTACTTTAATTCAAGCCATTACACATAAAAGATGATGGAAAGCCTTACAACCAAACACTCAAGAAAAATCCCTGAATCTACATATTTTACTAATAAGGCACAGACCTAAATAAGTTCTAAGCAAAGAGAGCACCTTGAAATGATGCTTAGAAGATAAACAATGCTTGGAAGGTAATATTTAGGTCTAAGCTTCATTGACAGAAATTTTCTTACAAAGGCTAAAGTTGACTTCAAGACTTCCTGTAATGAAAACCTGACTCAAAATTATTGGAAATTGACATTATTTTGAGCAATATCTGAAACCGATGTCACATTCAAAAGCCTTACCTCATGAACTGACTTCATATAACTTTGATCCTAAAGGTATATCAGTGGTAATAGAAGTCATGAAGAAGTTAATAATAAAAGCTTTCTCAATCACATCAGTGGCTGGCAGCCTGTAGAGGAGCAGGTGAGGTTAACAGAATCTCTTGCTACAGGGGTCTTTGCAGGAAAGGCCAAATTAAAACCATTTTTTGCCCTTTTGGAGTTCAGTTGACATGAGCTCCATCCCAGTGTGGTGAGGCATGAACTCTCCAAATTTCCTAATTACATCTCTCCTTCTGTCTTCCTGTTTTTTTTTTTAAGTGATTTAAGAACTATCCATACAGACTCTTAATTGCAAAAACCTACTTTGTCTCCTGCAGACTAAGAGACAAAAACAAGGGCTTGGCTCACAATCCCCAAGGATTACAGTTACAATTTTTCCTTTGCCTTGGCTATGGCTCTGCCCAGGACATAAATAAGCAGTAATACTTTAATCATTACAACTTACATGCACAACCACCAAATACAGAACATTTTGGTATTTTCTTCAGCCATATTATCAGTTTACAGAAGCTCCTGGAGCTACAATATTTGCTGCATAGAGAGGTTGTAGCTTCTCCATCCCTGGAAGTGTTCAAGGCCAAGTTGGAATATCCTGTTATAGTGGAAGGCATCCCTGCCCATGGCAGGAGGTTGGAACTGGATGATCTTAAAGGTCCTTTCCAACCCAAACCCTTCTATGATTCCATGAATATGGCACCAAAAGAATATATGATATTCAAAGTATGATCACTGGCCTAGAATAGACTCTAAGTAATACAAATACACACAGATAGGGATGCACCCCAAGCCTGATTTATACACAACCGAAGACATGGGCCATCTGCAGCCCGAGATAAATTAATTGAGAAGCTGTGACAGGACCATATGATGATGATGTGTTGTTTGTAACACATTACTCTGGACTTTCAGCTACATTATGCCAGGAATTAGCTACAGTTATGGTTTCCCATAGCAACAGGATATATGGGACAAACTGCTCAGGAAAAGCCAACTGAGCAGGAGCTGTACCTCCCCTGCTGAGCCAAGCCAGGTGCTGCCTTGCTTTGCAGGAAACTGAAACCCAGCTCCTACATGTGCACCTGCAGTATTTCTCAAATTTAGTCAAAATGCACCCCTTTCAAAACAGCTGGCATTTTACCAGTCCCACACTGCTTCAGACCCTGCAGACAAAGCCTGGTCAACCCAAAGAAGGATGGACTAAACCCACTAAACTTGCCCCTAGCTGTCATTAATTTAGTAAGTCTTGGGCACAGGACTGTGCTTACAGAGTCACTGTCACTCGGCCGCTGTCCCTGCACAGTGACCTCACAGAGCAGCTCTGCAGTGACTGTGCTCAAATGGGAGTGCCCACAAGCACTGCAGCCAACACCAGTGAGTGCATGCACATCTGTGCACTGCAGCCAACACCAGTGAGTGCATGCACATCTCTGCACTGCAGCCAACACCAGTGAGTGCATGCACATCTCTGCACTGCAGCCAACACCAGTGAGTGCATGCACATCTCTGCTACCTGACCCAATAATCCAGTGGCCCTTCAGAAACAGCTTCCTGTTGGGAGTTCTCACCTTCCAGAGCAGGTGGGCACTTGGCAAATGCACCCCCCAGAAATTGCACAGGGCAGGGATGGGCCAGGGAGCAAAGTGGAGCTTTCTGGGGGAGCACAAACAGCACAACTTCAAACACCTGCTCACACCTTGGCCAAAACACATACACAAATCAGCATTTGTACTTATATATTATTGTGATGCAGAATTATCTCCCTCTTCCCTTAGGGACCTGTGTGCCATCTGTGTGACCTACACAAGCAGGCTAGAAAGGGTTCAATTTAATCCTAAATAAAGGAGCAGCCCCTTCTAATGAGCAGGTATACAGAAGCCTTTTAATTTCAATGAGTCACTTCAAGGCAAAAGTCCTAATGAAGACAACATAATTTGTAGTGTCAATAGCTATTAGTGCTATGAGGGCTCCAGAACAGTGAGCTTTGATTTAACGTCTTCCTTTTAGAGCACACTCTACCTTCATAACAAGAACAAGGCCAAAGAGGAATAACCTTCAGGTGCTCCTGAAGATCAGGAGTCCACAGCCATAGATTATTTTGATTACCATCCCCTCATTTGAGAAAAATCAACACAGTGCTATCAGAATATTTATGTCATCAGACCAAATGAATCTCCAACAAGATGTGAATTTATATTCATGAAGTATTAACTACTGCATTTTTGAGACTCTAGAGTACTTCTTGGGTTTTGGGGCTACAGGGAATCCATATTTTCCAAACCAAGAAGTAACTTTGCTGGGTGACACTGGTCTTATGCAATATCAGTTTTGCCTACTTACCCCCACCTCTGCAGCAGCAGGCCTCCAGTATCTCCTCTTCTCCACCAACATTTTTAAGAACTAAATGCTGATCAAAGTATAAAGTTTGCTACCAGAGAAGGCGAGATGAGCTGACATGGAAGGAACATGAAATGGGAATGACCTGAGATGAATGGCAATTAGAAAGAAACAAAGGGCAGCTGGGATGGAACTGTGGGAGACTGATGGCCCCAGCTGAGACTTATTCAGAAGATTTGATAATCCTCTAAGGAGGAATTTTAACCTCCAAGTGCATGCACACAGGTGCTGCTGACAAGAAACAGAACATCTACAAAGAAAAAATACAGAGGATAACTTTTTAGATGCGAATTCATGTCAGCCTTTGGCACTTGGTCATTAGTACCAGCACTTAGTATAAAGCAAAAATATTTGGCAGTTTGAAAATTGTGTTCACATATAATTACTGTGCTGGCATTAACTACATTCAACAAGAGGAGCAAAGAACTGCATGGTAATTTCTGATAAAGAGGCAACTCCACCAGCCCCTTCTTTACGCTACTGTGACAACAAAGGAAGACAAAGGTGATTACTTTCTTTTCTACCACTACCCTAAAATTAAGCCTTTCCCCACTGACACTCATTTGGCTTAACACCTCTGATTTGATGAGCACATTGAAGTAATTTTTTTTTAGTTCTTCTCTGGCCGTATCAAAGACGGCCAGAAGAAGTGAAGTAAGGCAAACAAGTCAATGATGAGCTGACAGAAAATACAATTTCCTTAGCAGAAGAGTCACATAATATATTTCTTATAAGACCTCCATATTTTTAAATATTTTCATTTTTCTTTCTTCCTCTATGCAAAAAACTCACTGTCTTCTACTGACACTTCATTTTGAGACAGAATGTAGTTTACTCCCCTACAAAAAATACTAGAGTGAGTGTCTTTTCAAGATCTTGAATAGTGAACAAAAATCTGTATGAACCTAAATGACTTATAAGGCTAGAACAGCCAAGACATTCATGTTTCTATAACCCAAATAAGACAGATACAGTCCTATGCAGGCACCTTTGATATAGGAGACTGCAGGACAAACTACCCAGCTTCAGCTGAGTTCACCTGGGATAAGTGAAACTGGAGGGGGGAAACGGAAAAATAGAGAGAAAAAATGCAAGAGAAGAAATTCAGCTTCAGCAGAAATAATGCAGTTTTAATGGACCATGGAATATCAGACACCCAACAAGAAGATGACCTTTTCTCCAGTACTGAAATAACAAAGCAATAGAACACAAATGCTGATCAACCAACTTCAACTTTACAAAATCAATTTATATAAGAATAAAAGAACAAAATCCATGACCTTTTCTTTACTATTTTAAATAAACCAAATCCATCTACTGAAGTATTCTTTTTGAACAAAAGTTATTGCCTGACCTTTCTTATTCTACTGCAGGATGCAAAGTGACTGGGTGATTTAAGTGATTTAAGCTCTTTTTTCTTCCTAAATCAGAGGTTTGTGCCACCACAGAGAGGAGACTGTGCACATCTACCCCAGCCCCAAGACAGGAGCAGATTCTGTCGGTACCATCAGAGATCTGTGACATGGCCCTAAAACAAGGGGCAAAGCCCCAGAGGCAGGGGCTGGAAGAGGAGTGGATATTTGGGCTGGAATTTGAGTGCCCATCCAAACCAGGCCTATGTCTCCACAGCATTCTGCAACACACAAGTATTTCAGAATATACCTGCACAATGAAGACTATTAAAAGTGATATATGTCAATGGAATATTTTATCTAGTATATCAACACCAAGGTCATATACAGAACACTGACATAATTTTGTATGTTATTCTCAAAGAATCAGAAGCACAAAATACATTATCTGAAATTAACCTTTTCTGTGATGAGCTCTTGATAATTTACTGGATTCTCTACACAAACTGTTTTAGAAACACCATGAAATAAAAACATGATGTAAATGAATGATAATTACATAATTAATGTAATGACAGCCTAAACATAATTTCACCTGTAATATTTCTCTTGTGGAAGCAATGTCCAAGTAATGTTCAACAGATGGATGCTGCTGCCTGGGATAATGGCAAAATACATTATTAATTGAAAATAGAAATGTGTTGTTATTTCCAATCCTTTTAATCCCAAGAGCCATCTGTGGGCAAGGCTTTTTATTTGACACAGGAAAAAAAAAAAAACAACAACCAAACCATATGCAAGTGTATTTGCCTATGTGGAAATATATAAAAATATATACATTAATTTCTCTACTCTGTGTTAAAGTGCTGTCAATAAGGAACTGCTTGTGCACATCCCTATGATTTGACAGGATGGGCTCAGAGTCAGAGTAATCCTGACTGACTGAAAATCAGGAATAATTCCTTGAGAGAGACAAATCACTTTATTTTGAGAAATAACTCCCTGGCTTCTAGAAGGAGATTAGTGTATTACAGCCAGTATCATCCTTTTCATCTTGGTTGTTACCATTCTCTTCTTTTTTTACTTTTAAATCACTAAAAAACTGCCAGTGAAATGAACATGGAACAGAATCAATCTGATGGCTTCTAGGGGCAGGAGAGTCATTATGCACAGCAAAACAGTATCTTGAAAAAGCTGACCAAGAACTCTCTGAGATCAGGGGGAAAGGGCAGGAGAACATCAAGGCTGACAATTGTATCTCCTGGCTGTAAAATAATAATGCTGAAAACCAAGAATCTGAGACTATATGGCCTCCTGCACTATGGAAGGAACAGCTTTCTGCCAAAAACCTCAGAGCAGAGGTGGAGAGACTAAATGCTGGTATACTCAGAGCTGAAGAATAAAGATCATTAGTGAGCAATGAGGATTTGTGATGCTGCTTGTTTCAGGGCCTGCCCATCTCTTGCTTTTAAGAGCTGTAAGACCCCTGAACAAAAGCCATGGGGTACTGTGGAAGGGTACATTTACTGATAAAACAATCTTTCTCGGGATAAAGGGAAAAAAAAAAGCAGGTTGCCATGGCAACCCTGAATGAATTCAGCACATCACCTGTGCATGAAGTCTATCTCCAAGGGCTCTCTCGAAAGATGAGGGTTTGCTTCTCACTTGAGATCCCTCAAAATTGTACAAGGTTCTTAAAAATAAGGATTGCACAGGAAATGGATGGGACTCCTGCACCCACCAGATCAAAGCCTGCTCGAAGGCACAATTATCTATGGAAAAGGAAAGCAGTGTATTTTTCTTGACAAAGTTTTAAAATTACTGCGAAGATTGGAGAGTCTAATGTATGCAGGGGACAAGCAAGGCTGGAAGTCTTCTGTGAGAAGGCAGATGTGCCTCAAGTGTTTCCCTTTTTCACTAATGAAGCCTTATGCTTGGATTTCCTGACTTACTACACAAGTTTCTTTCTTTATAGGACCAGGGAAAAGAAAAAACTCAAACATTGGAATCAAATACACTGGAAAAATGAGTGTTTTAGAGATGATGACAAACCTGAGGAAAAGAAATTAAATGCAAAACCAAGTAAAAATACAAAGTTAGAAATAAATAACATTCCATTTAACTTTTTGTCAAAGTGTAACAGAGAACATGAGGTCCACTTAGAGTAGGCCTAAAAGTAAAATCTAAAAGTTTCTGTTATAAAAGCACTACCCAAGGTCTCTCACCTCTGAAAAGTTTGTGAAAGTCTGCTGTGTCAGAAGTTCTGTCAGAGCTTGGATATAAAATCAAACAAACAAACTTGGTAAAGCATTAAAAAAAATAGAACAATGTTTATTGAAGGTAAAGCAAGGCCACATGGAAGCAAAGAGAAGTTTCTTTGTAGCCGTTGTCTGAAGTATCATCTCGAGCAGCTCAGCTCAACCAGGATGTCCTTCCAATCAAGGAGGTAAAATGTCCAACACTCCTTTGCTTATTTCCACATTTATAGAGACATAACCCACCTCTACAGGAAGGTCATGGGCTGAAGGCTAAATAAACACCTGTGCTCACTCCCTGCCACCAGGGAAACCTTTAAAGAGTTTGGCAGATTTGTTTAAATAAAATCAGTTTACACAGAAATACATGACTGGAATACAGCACTTGGCTAATGTCAAAATGAAGAGCCTGAAACATGCAGTGACATCAAATACCTCTTTCTTTTGTAGTTCTTGGGGAACTATTAGAGGACAATTCACAAAGGCTAATTTCAGTCTGAATGTGCAGATTCTTCCTCAGAAGCAGCCACTGGAGACAAGCTCCCCCACGTCAGCCCTCATAACTATCTCTGTAAAACCTTGAAGTGAGAATTAACACACATCTATTTTTAAATAAGAGACGATCCTATTTTGTGTAAGTTCAAGACACAGTTCTACCATGAAAAACAAACCATTTAAATAAGTCGTATTTGTTTTCCTAAATTATTTGTGGCAATAAACTCTAAACAGTTGGATTCACCAGTACTGGAGCCCAGATACTCTTCTCAGTTCTCACACACCACTGCACCCCAACTTCCAGCCTTGCCAAACCCAGCAGATTCAGATGGGAGCTGACTGTTTAAATGAGAAAGTCAATTACATTATAAACTTGCATTTGACATAAAAACAGTCTGTAGAGAAAGCAGGGAATCAAAATCAATCAAAACCAAAAAGCTTCCTTAAAACTCACACAAATATTCCCATGGGAGAGCGGATCTTGTCTGAGGGCAGGAGGCTGAACACAGTAACAATGACAGACCCTTGCAGTCCTGCTTTCTATTAATTTCCACAAATCCTTCTCCTTTTCAGGCACTCATTTACACACAGTAGTCCCTGCTAGGCTTAGGATTTGGTTCTTCTAATGCAGAAGTCAATACAGCCCATTCTTGTTTACCAAGTCATGACCAGTGAGGAGTGCCTTGTGAGCAAACAGAGCCTGGCAGTCAATAACCAGCCACAGCAGCACAGCCCAGTGGGGAGAGCTTCACTCAGGGTAACAAGGTTGTTTTACTTGGCACCAAAACAACAAATGCTCCTTCTTACAGAAGGATTTTTAACCGAGTAGATGAAACGTATCCATATTGCAATTTCAAAGTACAAGCTCTGGTAAATAGTGCATTAAAATTCAAAGCTTAGGGTTAACAGCACCGCCCAGTTTGTCTCAGCAGCCACAACACACTGCTGACTCAGCTGGATTTTGATACTCATTATCTCTCACACAACGCAGAGGCAAAGGAATTAACATTCTTTAAAACCAAAATAAAATTCTCTTCCCAGCAAGTAAAAAAGTAACACGGGTATAACAAGGATCTACATGCAAAGTCAAGATCCACACCATGGAGCACGTTAAATGCTATGGAACACATTTTAAAGAAGTATTTTAGGGATTTTTTAACTTTCAGAGATTATATTGTCTTAACTTTCCTCAGTCAAAATAGTTTCTTTGATAGGGGGATCAGTAAGAATTAAAGCCTCTACAGATACAAGGAAAAAGAGTTGTATAAAATTCTCTATGTTTGGAACACGGTTTCACAAGTTACAGACATGGAAATATATCAGAAAACAACCTGATTTATCTGCAATATGTGAAAAAAAAAATCTGTCACCCAGTTCTCCAAAGCATTCAACATTTCTAGTGAAGAGAATAAAATAGAAGAAATACAACTATTTCAAGAAACAATCACAAATCTTGCAATCCTAAAACTAAGTTAAATTATGGATTCAAACTAGGTTGATTCATTCAAGCCATCTGCTCTTCTATTGACATGAGAAAATACCCCAAATAAACAGAAATATTGAGAGCGTGTTTATTTGATTTCTCCCATTTTTTCAGGTCCCACAGATACCCACTCCTCACAGGTCAGAGGAGAAACTATTGTAAATTCTTCTTTTTCAAAAACAAACAAAAAAAGACCCCTAACCCAAACCCATTATAAACCAGTACCAGTACTAAGATTCCATATGCATATTGTTACATTACAGTTCTTCTATCATATGTAAAATAATGCTAAAAATGTGTGTTTGTAGAGATATCTTCTTCAGAGGCAGAAGAACCACTGTTTATACATGCTTTTAAGCAGCACGAAAAGAACCGCAGCACACACATTTGTGCCTTTCACAAACACATACTTAAGCCAATGCATTCAAGCAGAGCACGTTTGGGATTGTAAATGTGTCAAGATAACCCAAACAACACTGGCAGCAAGTCTTTACCCATTGTATCGCCATCAAACATAACATTTATTTTACTTAGACAAAAAACATAATATACACACAGCAAAAAAACATTTTTATCTCACTTATATATAGAATGCATTTATCATAAAATGTTAGAATTAATATAGAGAACTCAAAGACAGTTGACACCTCCAGAAGGAATTAAAATGCAGGTTCTTGGGATAACTCCTATGCCAGTTTGCTCTTCCTTCCAACACAGCAATTTAAATAAATTTACATTAAGCACTGATATTCCTGAAAAGGCTTATAAACATTTAGACAATTACAGTGGAGTAATTCTCTAACAAAAAAATCCCCAAACCAAACAAAACCGAACCTCTGAACTTGGGGACAAACCAGACAGTACATGGTATTACCTTTAGCTTGGACAACCAAGTTCACAAAGTAAGCAGGGTAATAATTCTGCCAAAAAAATCCTTCAGACTGGTATAAATACAAATGTTACATTTTTAAGGTTATGTTTTAATTTCTTTGCAGTACCTGCAGATTTTATAAAGCAACAGGCTGGCCATTTCTGTATCAATAGGACTTTTCTACTGAAAAGATTACTTACAGACATTTTATAGAATGAACATTCCTAAAGAATACAGAATGCAACTGAGAGTGTTCAAGCACAAAGATGTGAAAAACAATGAATAAGAGAAAATATTGCCTGACTTAGCCCTGCTGTAACTCTGAGGAAAGCAGAGAGAACTCCATTAGCCCTGCAATGGGATGTGAGGCAGCACCATCTAAATGAAATCCCATTCATCAGTGCAAACCCATTTCCAACACCACCACAGTGCAAACCACCCTCCCCCATTCTGTGTCCTCAATAAAAGTGCCCTGTCTAGCGATGTGCACAAGAGATAGCCTATTTCTGAATTCTCCTTGCAGAAGGGAATATTTTATGAAAGTATGCCTCTCTGACTATCTCCTTTCAGAAGTTCCCAGAGAGGGAAAGGGCAGGATTTACCCCCAGTGCATTTCCTCTCCAAGCTCAGGCCACCTGTGATGAGGGCTCTCAGCACACCAATCCCAGAGAGGCACCAAACTGCTTCAGGAGCCAGAAACTTTTCCACTTGTTGTTAATTTTGCTTTAAATCATAAATGCTCAGTGTCATTCCCTCTGTAGAGCAGAGAGATCAGGAAATGCCTCTGATTAACTCACCTGGTGGAGGTTTGCCATCACCAGCTCTGCGATTGGAGGCCACCATCGCCTCTGGGACTCGCCCAGTGGATCGGGCTGATAATGCCAAGCTCTTCGATCCTTGGGTGGCCACTTAATCAAAATATAAATCTGATGGTTTTGGTGGGCCCCATCTAACTTGGAAGGAGTGCAGCGCAACAAGGTGTTTATCAAGTTCTTACAGTAGCACTAAATTCAACCATCAGTGGTCATCACAAAAGGCCACTGCACATCACCTCTTTCGTTTGTATGACTAAGTATCACCAGAAGGCTATCTTAGGAGTAACGAGTGAATAATGCTCTCCCACGGAACGCCGAGGGGCTGGGACTCTGCCCTGGGAAGAGCGGAGGTGCGGCGAGGCCTCAGCCGACACCGTCTCGTGTGGCTGCGGGATCTCCCGATTGGCTTTACGCCGTGTCCCGGCTGTGTCCCGCTCGGGGCCGCTGGGGTTGCGCTGTGGGAGCGGCCCGAGCTCCCTCACGGCCCGAGCTCCCCTCACGGCCCGGGCTCCCCTCACGGCGCGGCTCCACCCCCGGCCCGCCAGGGGGCGGCCGCGCCCGCCGTGCTGCGCGCGGGCCGGTGACGCACGCTGACGCACAGCCGGGCTGTGGCGCGGCCATGGCGAGCGACTTCTACCTGCGCTACTACGTGGGGCACAAGGGGAAGTTCGGGCACGAGTTCCTCGAGTTCGAGTTCCGGCCCGACGGTGAGAGCGGGGCAGGGGGCCGGGGAGGCGCTCCCGGGGGGCGGGCTGCCGGCCCGCGGGTCCCCCCGGCCTGGTGTAACGCGTGGAAAATCCTCTCCCCGCAGGAAAGCTGCGCTACGCCAACAACAGCAACTACAAGAACGATGTGATGATCCGGAAGGAGGTGAGGCAGCGCGGCTGAGGCGCTTGTGCCGCGAACGGGACTCGGGGCAGGGCCAGGGGTGGATTTCGTTGCCGGGGCGTTGTGGGCAGGGCTGTATTTATTTCTCTGCCGGAATGTTGTGTCCAGGCTTATGTGCACAAGAGTGTGATGGAGGAGCTGAAGAGAATAATCGACGACAGTGAAATCACAAAAGAAGATGATGCTCTGTGGCCTCCTCCTGACAGAGTGGGCCGACAGGTACGGTTCATAGTGTTTCTTCTAATTGCTCTTTCATTTTCATATGTTAGCTCCTTGGAAGCATAACTACACTTTTGCTTCAAGCCAGTATTGTTTCCAGCTGAAAGGGAAACAAATACTACTTTAAAACCTGAGTAGTGCCTCAATGACAGTGTAGTTGTGGAAGCTAATATGATCCACAGACCTGCTGCATTCGATATCTTTGTTACAGAAATTTGTAATAAAAAATAAAAACCATCACAGTACTGAAGTGTTTCTGTAACTGCTACCATGAAGCAGTGAGTTCCTATAACCTTTTCTTTTTCAGGAGCTCGAGATAGTAATTGGTGACGAGCACATCTCCTTTACAACGTCAAAAATCGGTTCCCTCATTGACGTAAATCAGTCCAAGTACGTACTCTGCTTTTTGTGCTGCCCTTGTTTGTGTTTACTAATCTGTATCAGAACTTCCTGATTATTTGGTACCTGTATTCTATATATTTGGTACCTGTATTCTATATCGTTTCAAAGTATGAATTAGCTCTGAGGGCACCAGTGCTCTATGTTGCAGCACAGTATCCCAAATGCCTTTAGGTTGGGGCATTACAGGCTGTGTTCTCAAACTCAGAGAATGCCCTCAGCATTCTGAGCAGACCTTGCTGTAGGAACCCTGTTACACACATACAGAGTCTGAGCTGCCATTGGCCTGTTTGTACCAATTTCTTTGGGAGAATCAAGATACATGTATTTCACCTAAGCTGAAAAGACTAACTATTGTGGGGAAGGAAGGGGTAAAATCCTAAGTGCTGTTAATACTTGTTTTCATTATAAAAATGCATATTTTGTAAAAGCTTAAAATGTTCACAGTTGGAGAAGAGAATATTTAATCAATCAGTATAGAATGAAACAAATCTGTTAATGTCTAAGATGACATCTAAAAAGTCCTCATATAGGCTTTGGGTTTTTTTAATACATTAGTTCTGTAACCTGTTCTTTAATAACATCAGTATAAATTTTTAAGTATTTTTAATTTTTTCCCCTCTTTCTTCCATCTGTTGTGAACTGCAGAGATCCAGAAGGTTTGAGAGTGTTCTACTACCTGGTCCAGGACCTTAAATGTCTTGTCTTCAGTCTTATTGGACTCCACTTCAAGATTAAGCCAATTTAAATCAGATAAACTGAAGTTTGTATTGCAATGTTAGCAGTAGAGGTGGGGAGGGAGGATACTGTTCCAGTTCTTCATTGTTTCTGAAATTTTTTTGTACTTTAGATTATTTTTTTGATTGTTATTTTGTTGTTGTTACAAACTGTCAGTGACTCAATAAAAGGGTGAGATCTGTGTTTTTGATTTTTAAGCTGTGGTGAGCGACTGACTCCTAACACTTCTTTTATAACGGTGCATTCAGAGTGTGTCTCTTCACTTGGATCACCCACACACTGCACTTCTCTACACAGCAGTAGAAAAAGGAATGAAGCCTGGCTTTGTAAAATGAAACTTTTGCCAGTTGTCAAGGCAAACTTTTGTTACTATCCTGAGCTGGGTACTCTGTTGGCCAGCCAAGAACAACATCTGGCTCCGCACAGGTAAATGGTTATAGCAGACACACATCACCTTCGTCCCAGCTGGGGTTACCCGCTTACCTCCAGAGCAGAGGCAAACAACAGGAGCCATCAGGGATCTTCACTGACCGTCCCGTTCAGTTTCAGAGAAGCTGAAAAGCAACCTAGAATGTATTTAGTTTAGTTCTGGACTAGGAGATCTGTTGTGCAGCATTCGTTAAAAGACTGAGGCATCCCCCACAGGCCCTGAGGGTGGGCCCCGTGGCAGTGCTGCCAGACTGCGCTTTTGCTTTCTCTTAACACGTCTGGTCTGTAAGAAGAAGCTGCGATTAAAAAAAAAAAAAAAAAAAGTGATTAATTGATGTGTAATTTTCAAAATACCGGCACCTCCCGCTTTTCCTCCCCTCCCCACAGACAGCTCCCGCCATCCCGCGCGGCGGGCGGTGGTGGCCGCCATCTTGGCTGAGGGCAGACGCGGCTTCGCGCCGGCCCAGGCGGGCAGGGAGTGCGGGGCCGCCATCTTGGGTGAGGGCACGGCCGCGGGGAGCAGGGAACAGGGACCTGCCCAGGATCCGCGCGGCCATGGGGGTAGGTGAGAGCCGCGGCCGGAGCCCCGCGGGCCGTGGGGCAGGGGGAGTCTCGGCCGGAGCCCCGCGGGCCGTGGGGCAGGGGGAGCCTCGGCCGGAGCCCCGCGGGGGCAGGGGGCAGGATTTTAGGACTGTTCTTAGCAGGGCCGGCCGGGGCTGACGCGCTCCGCCGCTTGCCTTGCAGAGGATCGGGCTGCAGCTCCGCGCCACGCTGGAGAACATCACCCGGCTGCGCGCCGAGGGAGAGGACTTCCGATGGTACCTCAAGGTGCGGGGCCGCGGGGCCGGGGCCGGGAGCGGCGCATGTCCCTGATTATTGACGGCTTCCAACCTTCCCGTTTGTGTTCTCCAGCTGAAATGTGGGAACTGCGGTGAAGTCTCCGAAAAGTGGCAGTACCTGCGGCTGATGGTGCGTGTGCCCCTCGTAACCTACCTCTGAGCAAAAATGAGAGCACAAACCTGCCTCTACAGACTATCCGCATCAAGGATGTGACAGCTTCCCCTCTAGATGGATCGTTTTTCAATAGCTATATGCATTTAGAAAATTGTTGTGTTCTATATTAAAAGAAATATTGGAGATTGTTAATTGACCTATGCCATTTGAATAGTGACTGTTGGTAACAAACTATTACATCTGCTTTTAAAACACCTTGCTGTAAAAATTTAATTTAAAAAGAAATTTTGAAGCGGTATCAAAATGCGGTTGTGCCTGTAGTATATTTCTCTGATGCTGACGGAATTCTTTTGGAGAATGTTAGGTAAATGAAGATCATTTAAGCATGTTAAATCAGCATTTGGAAGCTGGAAAAGCAGGATAAAATTTGTCAGGGATACTGTTCTTAGCAATAATCATCCCTTTTTATTGCATACAGCTGAATGGTAAGAATGTATTTTGAAGAATTAATAGACCATGCCTATATGGAAAAGACAAAAATATATATTATTCCCTATTTAAAGTCTGGAACAGAATTATTCTTTGATAATTACAGCTTGTTAAATTACTAATCTCTGCAGTTAAAAAAAAAAGATGACTTGTTGCAGTATTTTTAAAAAGTTAAAGGGCTGAAGTGGTTAAAAATGTCTCTCTTGTCTTGGATTTTAGGACAGTGCTCCCCTGAAAGGCGGCCGAGGAAGCGCCACGATGGTGCAGAAGTGCAAGCTGTGCTCCAGGGAGAGCTCCATCGGTACGTGCTTGGCCACTGACCCGGCACTGTCCGTTTCACAGTTTCTCTTTTAGTCCCCATTTTTGCTTGACACCATTTGTAAAGAGCTTTCACCAGGGATTTCTGCCCTTGTATACTGGTGCTTGAATTCCCTATGTGCTTGAGGCACTTTCTGGACATCACGTTCAGGGAGACAGCAAGTCCTCCTGGTGAGTCCTGCATGAACAAAACTCATCTGTATTGTTATTTTACAAAAGCATGCAAATCTTTTTGGCGTTGGTATGGAAAAATGGTGCAATGTAAACTTCTCAGGAGAAGGGAGAAAAATGTAATTCTGCCTTTTGAAGATGAGCTGCACGAAAACCTTGCACTTCTTTCATTTCTTTTGCTTCGTATAAGGAAATTGCTGTGAAAGAAGATCCTGGTGTCTGGTTTGTGCTGAACAAAACTGAAGACATAGTGCCACTCACTTGTATACTTTTTTTTTGTTTTAGATATTTTAAGTCAGACAATCAAGCCTTACAATGTAAGTTTGTTTCTTCTTCTACGTAACAAGTGAAAGATAAACAAGCATTAACAGTATTTTGAGTTTTTGCTTTACCATCCTCCTTCAGGAGCACAAAAAGCTGGTCTTGTCCTTGGCCAGAAATCATCTTGTAGACTCCTGGGCAGTCGCAAGTGTAGAATAATTTGATACATTTCAAAAGCCAACACAGAACTGTATCATCCAAATTAGAGGTATTACATATATATATATGTATATAAAATGCCCCTCTAGGTCTCCTTTCAAAGACTTCCTCATGGCAGATTATGAAATTCTAGTTAGGTAGTTAGGGACCACCTATGAAATGTGCCATAGGGTTCTGCTGGCACCTGGGGCATCAGAGATGACAGTGCTGCCTTTAAAGCAATCCATTCCTAGACTAATGCTTGTCACTGTCTCTGTTCAATGGAAATTAATGGTTTTCTGACTCAATCACAGGCCGAGGACAGCGAGAAATTCAAAACAATTGTGGAGTTTGAATGCCGAGGTCTGGAACCAGTTGACTTTCAACCACAGGTGAGTTCTTATTTATGATTCGTTTCTGTCTTTAAAAGCCCTTCTTCTAGAGTGATAAAATACACTCTATTTGAAATGGTTCTGGAACATCTTAGACCTTCCCAGATTCCCTTCCTTCCACAGCTCCTTGTTCTACTACATTTGATTAAAAAAAAAAAAACCAAAAAACCAAAAAACCAAATACTTGGAAACAGCTAACACAAACAACTGGTATTCTCTGTGTCAGTAAAAGCTAAAACTAAGCACACCTTGGAGTCGTACTTAAACTGCCTCACAGGTGACTCAGTGTTAATCTGAATTCATCTCCTCAGATGCAAAAGAGTCTTTCCCAAAGGGAAAGTGCAGCATTATACAGAGCACCACTTGCTCCTTGGTGTGTTACAGAGCTCATCAAGCTTAGGTTATGAACACACTTCAGTGTGTGCCCTCTAAAAAACAAACAGCTTTTCTTTGGGGTTGACATCACCAGAGCCACAGGAGATGAACACTGGCGTTTTCCCATTTGCTGCTTGAGCAGACAGAGCTTGAAGATCACTGGCAGTTACAGGCTGGTGCAAAGCACACCTCAAGGTTCAGAGTTAAAGGACTCTTCAGGGCCAGTCTGCAATGACTCATCTCTTGTGCATGGTCATGCTCTATTGCCACTTAACTCCCCGCTATTTTTAACCTATTATTCCAGTTGGATTAGGTGTAAATAGGCTGACAAATATAAACTTGTCTTATCCTTCTCTCAGACTGGGATGCTGTGCTAAGAAACAGCCAAAAAAAGCTGATCCTACAAAGAATTTGATATAAATAGAAAATCTACAGCAGTGTGCTAGGGGAGGTCTTTATTTAAGTGAAGTCCATCGTTTTGATGAATGGTTATTCCTTCATTCCAGAATGGTTGTTAGTTTATTCCTGCTTGAAAGCTATGGGAAGACTACAAAATGTAGGAGATGTTTATAGCTCTGCATCCTAGCTGTCAACTTTAGTTACAGAACAAAGACTTCACAACTGTAACAAAAGTTTTAATTTAATATTCTGAGTTTGGTGTGCTTGACTGGAGAGTACTTGAATCCCTGAAGAGGTATTTCAGTGAATTTTTGGATGCCTAAATCAGTAAATGAGAGTTTTCTGATGCTCAAAGGACTTCTGCAGTTCCAAAGCCTGGCTTCTGCACAACACTAGATCTCACTTTTGATTAGCACTAAACACGGCATGTGGCCATATAATCACTGTATTTTCTCTGTATTTTTTGGTACACATAATACAACCACGCCTGGAGTTAATTTAAAGTGGCTTAATGCTTGCTTGCATGTCTTATTTAAATTATAGTAGTTATCAAAAAAAAAAAAACCAAACCCAACCACCACCACCAAACATTTGAGTGTTAGAGAGGAGAAAGTATCCTTTGTTTCTCTGATATAAAGCCTCATTTTAGACCTAGTGCAGAAGTTTGCAATTGCAGTCACAGGCTGGTGAATGGCTCCAGGTGGCAAAAGCAGGGCTCCTTTCATTTTTCTGGTGTTTGTTCTATGCTCAGCTCAGTTTTGACCCACAATGCTGATCTTCCTCTCCACCCCAGCAGTTCCCTTGACATGGGCTTCTGACAGTTACTGAAAGGCCACTGTGCCCTGCAGATCCCTCTCCTGTTGTTAGATTTGTTAGATCTGCCACACTCGGTAGTTCATTTAACACCCAAGTGCTTAACCTTCCATTTAAATCCCCAAGTATTTTCAAGTCTTGTGGCTTTGCACATGCTTAATGTCCGACTAGCACTAGTGGGGTTTTCTTTATCCAAAATGCAAGTGCAGATACCTTGCAGAAAACCAGGAAGAAGCTACCTTTGATTTTTAGCCACTTGTTAATAAAATTCTGTACTTAGAATTGACACAATGTAAGAAACCTTCCTGCATGCTACAGAAATGTCTTGGATTTTTAAATGGACTTTTAAAATTAGTAAATCTTACTCTATAGCTTGGTAACTGTGAACCTAAAGTGAGGGAGCTGTTCCTATGGAAGATAAACCAGAGCACCTTCCTAGAGCTGTCCTTTCTCCACTCTTCAAACACAGCAACAGTGATGGCAGTGAAGAACTGTCCCCTGTGAAATGCCTGTTTGGGATGCTAATCTGTTCACTCAGCCAGCTGATCCTCCTTACACATAAAGCTTGCTTGTCACTTGTGTGCCTCAATCCAATACAAGCTGCTCCTTCTCTAGAGTGTCTTGGATTCTGACGGTATTCAAGCTAAAACTATTAGCTTTCTTCCACATTTTCTGTTGCTTTCCTTGCAGTGTGTTATGAAGATATTATGCCTGTATGGACTCTGAACACAAAGCTATTAGTAGTAATTGGATGCTGCTATAAACTTAGAAACTAAGCTTTAACATTATCTAGAATAGTTGGAAATACTTTTTTTTTTGCTGGGAAAAATAGAGGAGCAGAGTCCCAACATTATACTGACCCTAATTAGCAAAGAGCTTGCCATTCTTTCTATCTAATCTAAAAGAAATACAATACATTTTTCTGCTTAGCTACCTTCTTTAAATATTTCAATGATC